ATTAAATCATCCCAACTCAAGAGATGAACCCCTTCTGTACAAATAAATGCCTTACAACCAATCATAAATGCAAAATATTGCATTAAGCTTTCGACAGAGTGGATGCTCCTTAAATCAAAGCACACTTACAACGGTCTTCTGCTAGTTTATGTTCGTCTTCTTCTTCTTCTTCTGTTTAGTTATTGTGTGTAGTATTCTATGCACCTGTCAATGTCATTCCTTTCTCGATCGATTTCAATCAGCAAAACTGCAAAGAAAAATCACTTCGCGCATTCTCCCTCTCTTTCTCGCTGAATGAGCTTCCACTCGGCTATAAATTTATTCAAGTTGCACTAAAAAATGCAAATTCTTCTTGTAGAACTTTGCAATTTCTTGTTTTTTTTTTCCTCTGTTTTCTGTTATTATTTTTATTGCTACTCGCTGTCAGCCAACGCTCGTAAGTTAAGCAAGCAGTGCAGTTCGGCAGAAAGTTAACTACAACGATTCCTTTGACATTGGCACGAGCCCCTGGATTGGCACTCTGCAGTTTATCCGAGAAGCGAGTGAACAATATGCAAAACTGAAAATAAGTGCTCGAATCGTTATTTGAAATTCATATCTTCTTGGCAGGGTGCATGCTTACCACGTACGTCGGCGCTTACTTGCGTGCGAAGTAACGGTACACGCACACTCTTGTCACATGCACAAAGGTACATTTTCGTAATCCATGGCCGAGCCGCTCTCCTTAACCCACCCCTGTGTGCCGCTCCTGTTTACCCCCAACAATTGAATGCTTTCATTGGGACCTCAAATAGGTCAGATGGGCTCTGTTTGCTCGGTTTGCTTTGTTCGCTTTTGCGGAATTTTGTTCTCACGTCGGTAAAGGGATTCTTCTTACAGCCTTATATATATATACAATATATACTATATATATACTATATATCTGTGTACATATCTATTGGTTCCCCACATTTCTGCGCTGCCATGTATGGTGCCCTGCATTGACACTTTATTGAGTAAAGTAAACGATGGAGTGTGTGCCAGTGTACCAAAGAGTGCAAATATGTACAAAGCATAGAGTTCCCGAGGAAGGAAGAAAGGAAAACGTGTAAGAATGCACGTTTGTCGATAAAAATCGAGCATTGTTTGTGTGTATGTAGGCACTGTACCAACCTGATCGTAAGTCGAATGTCAAAAAGTCAGTGGACGTGAAAAATTTGTATGACTTTGTGTGGTCGAATATGCTTTACAGTGTCTAAAAGTGTGCAGACCTCAAGTACAGTTAGAGACGACAAAGTTAAAGCCAAGCAAATTTTTGGAAAATATTTAAAGAGTATGATATTGTATGGGTGAGACCGCGGGCGAGTGTTTGCGGTTAGGTCGAAATCTGGTGAGAATTTTTAAAAATACTACCTCTACCAAAACTCGCTGCTTACTAGCCCAACTTCGAAGTTAAAAACATCTTTGTCAATAAATTCAAACTATATAGGCGGGTCAGTGGTGATTCCGGTTCTTAACGAATAAAAGATACAAGTGGCTCTTGTGATCAATTTTGACCCCGACTGGTCCATGCTAACTGACGCGAAAAATTTGTCTAGCGATTTATAACAGGAGTTCGAATTGTCTATAGACCGCTGTTAATGACGATAACATGAAAAAAGTTAAAGATACAGTGCTTGAAAATCGTCGATTTGGCATCAGAGAGATAGCAGAGGATCTCAATATCATTTATGATCGACTCAAACATTTTGGTTACTGTTTTGGCAATGATGCGTGAAAATGCTAAACACTTAACCTAACTTTACAAAAATTACATCTTTTTCTAAAACGACGTCGGGTAGTGACATGGGTTTATGAATATGACATCAAACTCTCAAACAATCTAGCGATTGGCGCTCCAAAAATTAATCGCAACTGAAAAAGCAAAATTTGTTAAAGGCACTAAAGGCCATCCTAGCCGAGACTTATAACAAGTGTATGGAAAATTTGATTAAACGTTGGTAGGATTGTACCGGCTCAGAGCATATTTTTAAGGCGACTCTAAATAATTCCATGTCAAACCAGATGAGATTGCTGTTAGATGTATCTATCTACTTTACTTAATAGACTTAAACGTGGTTATCAAAAGTTCAATATTTCTTTCTAATTCTCTAAAACATGGCTGACTGAAATTCACTTCCATTTTCTGGAAATAACGCTGTAAAAAAATTTTACAATAGGGTTTTATCTAAAACTGAGTACGTGCTACGGCGTTATGTTTCGTTATTTACGCTCTTATAATGACCAATAGTTACCCAAATTCGTAGGAAATAGTCATTGTGAGTTTGAGTGACGATCTGACAAATGTCAACAAATATGGAAAAGAACGTTTGCTGTAATTTCTGACAACTGCCAGTGCTGTGACATAGAGACAGAAGAAGAGGTAAAATTATTAAATTCTCTGCCGTGACATGGAAGCAGAAAACGAAATAAAATCCTCCCTTCCTAGCTTTATAGGAGGTTTTTTTTGGAAATAATAAAATAATTTAAAAGCTTCGGGTTTTCTGCTCCCAAAATCTTGTTTTTATAGTTCTTCTAATGTGTAGTAGTATTCTAATTATAAAAATTCTAATTATAAAAATCTCTTAAAGCATTCGAGTTACATTTAAATAAATCTTAATAAGAAAAAAAACTACTAACAAGCTACTGAAGCTTGCTTGCCACTTCCATTGTTTACAACAAGCACTCGTACACTATTGACCTAATCAATCAAGTTTGTTAGTGCTAAAAGAGAGCGAATTAAAGTCATTGGCATATCTTCATCACGGCCGTCAACAGTCTTCCACTCAGTCATTGCATACATAAATCTTTGTTACATACACAAACACTAATAATACCGACATAAAGCTATATGCGTATATAAGGAAGAACCTTTAGCATTCGGTTACTAACAATATTCTTATGTTCAACCACGCAGCGGCAGACATTTTGGCCGTGGGGGTGTCCAATTAATGCCATTTCATCTCATGTCGTAGCATAGAAACAACAAAAAACACTTGAGTGTAGAAAACAAGAAAACGTATTTGCGCTAAGATCGATTGGTTTTGCTTTCTTACCGAATTATGTATGTATGTATTAATCGAAGATATGTGTGGAGTCTTATATCTTTGACTATATTTATTTCGCTTCATTTATCTCACATTATTATTACTAGAGAGGGGTTTATGACACTTCATAATAATACGAAGGCAATATAAAAAGCTTGTGACTTTGCTAAATGCTCGTCAAAACCCGTTGTCCTTTGTATTTGAGATATAATATTTTGTATTGCCTAAAAGCATCAATCTACTTTCAACTGGCTGAGAGGTTTATTTTGGATGGGTTTTCAACTCTCACCTTCTAATCTCATATCATTGTGCCGTTATGAACAATCGTTAATAAAATTATAATTAAAGAAGGACTACTCCTTAAAGAGCTATCTTCATATGTAATACATAAATTATTATTTGTGAACTCCAGTAATCATCAAGTAATGGAGTTCAACTGCCGGAAAATGGTAGAGATTACAAGAACTTGGGTAATTATTTTAATGCAGTTTACATTCGCGGAGAACTCTGGGTACTTAGCTGAGAGTCCAATGATAATAATTTGCGTTGAAAGGAAGCTGCTCGTATAGGACATAGTAATTATGGCTAAAACAAAATATTTGAGTTATTTTACTTTCAAAAGCATATGAATTACACTGGTAAACAAATGAAGTTGTGTTTTATAAAGTTACGAAACTATTTCTTACTTATTTGACGTCGTTAATTTCAAATCTACTCTCAGTTTCTTTCTAGCCGCTCTAGCCGCTTTAGTGATACAGGTACTTCTGGAAATGTCGTTACTCGGCTTAGTTGAAGTAACTTTGAGGGCAAAAATTACTAAATTTCATAAATAAACAGCTATGTCTACATTAGGAAGAACTTATTTAAATGATACGAATAGGTTTTGTGCTATTTGTGGTGACTATAGAAGTATGTTTAAGGAATGCCGTTATATGCTATAAAAAAAACCTTTGAACTACTCTGGGATAATAAAATTTATAGTATAATACATAACCGGCTGATATGTCTCGATCTTAAAATGGTAAATTTTCTTTTGAGTCAACAAGGAGGATATAACCAATACCCCTGCTTCATGTGCTTATGGGATAGCCGAGCCAAGGCAGAACACTGGACTAAAAAAGTTTGGAATGTGAGAATGAATTTAGTACCGGGTAGTATGAATGTGATGAATGCCCTATTAATAACCAGAGACCGCATGATAGTATTAACCCCTCTTCAAATAACGTTACGTCTGAGACAACAGTTTGTAAAAGCTTTAAACAAGGATTTCATTAAAAACACAAAAATTTTTGACGGTACTCAAATAAGAGAACTAAAAAGGGAGCAACATTTTACTAATTTTATGACATATAAGGACAAATCTGCTTGGATTAAATTTATTTGGGTTGTGCAAAATTAATTATGAAATAAAAAGTCTCCAGACTAACATACATTCAACGCATTGAGCAGCTCATATTGCACTTTCAGAGGCTAGGCTTCCTCAACAGCAATTTAGACCGCTTCCCAGAAAATTTAGGCGACTTAAGCGAAGAACAAGTAGAACGCTTTCAACAGGATATTCGCACTATGGAAGAGCGATACCATGATCGTTGGAATCCAAATATGATGGCTGATTACGGTTGGAGCATTCAAAACAAGACTGATGTTTCTACGCATACAAGAAAAGCCCATATGTGAAATAAAGTTTTTTCTTTCATGTTAAGTAAGGCAATATATTTTGTAATTCTAAAATTGTAATATTTTTGGCTAAAAATGTTATATGTTCATACCTCGAAAACTAGAGCTGCTGGAGAAAAACTGACTACAGATTTTTTTTTTTTACTTATTGACCATACCGACAGATCTAGCCCAACATGAACTCGATGTAGTGGCGGTTTAACGTTGTATATCCGAATAATATGTGTATATTATAATTATAAAAAATTGGGAAGCTTTCTTGATTCAATTACATTGCAATCTACTTAAAAATTGTCACCATTCACCATTCAAAAGTCACCACGCAACATTACCCCAACTGAAGAAATTTCTCCTTTCGCACTCCTCTATGACGCCGGTTTCACCACAGGAGAAACGATATGAAAATTAACATTGGGGAAATGGGTTTCTCCTACGTTTTGGCTATTATTCACCTTAACGATAGAAAAATGAGTGAATGGAAAATTATTGCATGCGATTTATCATATTTTTGTAGTTATTGCCAGTTTCACTTCCAAAGTAATATTCCGGTTTAAAAAGAGCTTGATCTGTTTTGAAAATGCTTCTCAAATCTTTAAGAAGCCTACAGAAACTGAGATATATATGAGCATTATAATTTTCCTATCACGATAACTATCGCGTTCGCTCTTTGAGATATAATGACTTGAAATTTTGTAGGCACTTGTCGCAACTGTTAAATTTGTCTCTCTCCAAAACTACGCGCATGAGATTATCCTAAAATTCCTTATAGAGAGAGAAAGAGATAGGGGTTCCCCAAAGTAATGCCTAAAAAATTAAACCTCTGGAGTCGAGCTTATAAAAAAATGCGATGCGAAAAAATACAAGCTGAGATTAGCAGACAAAAATAAATAGAAATCTGCAGCAGAAGTCTTGGCCTTCAATTGATATCCCAAATAATCCGAAGCGTTGTGGTGGACTTCCACCGAATATAAAACTCAGCCACATCTTATTACCCCACGAAGCTTTTTTCAACTTAACGAAGTTCTAGTGAAAGTTCCGAAGTGAAAACGAGCTTACGATACCTTTTTTTTATTATTATTCTAAAAAGCTTAAAACTAGAGATTAGCCTCCGCGGGTTTACACCTCACTCCGCCGTGCATACGTAGAAAACGCACAACATACGCCGCCACTTTATCAGGACTATTCAGGTGAACATGATGCTTCTCACCTTTCATGACATGAAACTCGAAAGTGGGGTTATTTACACGCAGAATACGAAAGACATCACTTAGATACTCCACCTCTATGTGATACGAGTGCTCAGCTTTAATGACGAGGTAATGGATGTTACGCAAGCGTTTAGCCAACGCCAGCACCAGTTCCGGCTGCGTAAAAACCATTTCCATCAGCTTAATGCGGGTATCACGTGAGAAATAATACATATCCGAGTGACCCTCGGCCAGCCGAACGCTACGCTCCAACAGATACTTGCAATGTTCCAACTCCACCGATTGCTCTGAACCACGATACAGCAAATCAGTTAAATTCTCATAACTGTAAAGTGGCACCGGCGCTGGCCCACGCAAGCGATCCTCTTCGTTCAGCGCCTTGTCCGTTATCACGGACATCATATCGATCTGTATATGCGGCAGAAAATATAGCGTGGTCAACGCATCAATCGCTATAATCACATCGACTGTGTTCGGAAAGAGTGCGGCATAATAAAAACTTAGCGCGGCACCCAACGAATGTCCCAGAAAAGATATTTTACGCCACTTGTAATGGCGAACAATACGATGCACGACGCGTAGAAAATCGTTAAAGTGATATGACATGCCGGCAGGAAAGTGCGACGAACGTCCGTGACCGGGCAAATCGATAGCCAGAATGGGTCGCTGCGATGCAATAAGTGGCGCCAAACGTGCGAAACTGCCGGCGTTATCTTGCCAACCGTGTAGAGCGAGCAGCGGCCGCCTCAGCGGATCGCCATACCAACATGCGGCTATGTAACCCCAGGGCATCGGAATTTGCAATTCAACCGGCTGGAGTAAATAAAAATAAAGTTTTAATAGAACATTTTCACTACCAAAAGACGATGCGCTAAATGCACTTACTCGGCTCTCGCCCGTCATTACGTTCCACTCTTTAAGTCTAACGGCTTAGCTGCAACTATGAATTACAATACTTAGAGCGCGCTGTATGACCGTCTACGGCTCTCCGCTTGCGCAAATGAAACAATTCTCTCGTCAATGTAGTCGTGAACATGTTATTTTTCATAGAAACAATTTAGAAGAAGCTTAATATTTAAAGCTTAGGTCAAGTGGGCGCTCGTGCTGTGACAAAATAAATAGAAAAATGTAAAAAAAAATAAACATTAATGAACTTTGATGCCACTTTGTTGGATCGCTTAGGGGATCATAGGTAATGCGGAAGCACGCATAGGTACTTACACTGTTGCACAAAAGTATTCGTTACGGGGTTTGTTAATTTTTTTTTTTTTAAGTTGATCACGCCCATTGAATAATCACAAGTTCAGACCAAATAAATTTAAAAGAAAAGAATTCAATATTTTTTTTACCATCAACATTTTTTTTAAATCTATCTGACCTCATCTAGACCTTATCTAGATACTGACAATTTTATTTTTTTGTTGCCTTGACCAAAGTATTATCTCGTATCTGCATAGCGAATTTCGGATCCTTAAACTTTGTAGCGCCCTAGAACCTCTTAAATAGTTTTCTATTTATCTAAGTATCATTTGAATTGTGGGATTAGAAGTCTGGCTTATATTTATCCAGTTAAGATTGGAGAAAAATAATCGTATATTCCGTCCATTCAGTTCCTTTTTAGATCTTAGAACTTAGCTTAATTTCTTACTACAATAATGGTGAGTTCAGAATTCTAAGACTGCAGTAATGGATCTCCAATTTAATCTCGTACCACGCGAACTAGTCTAACGATTTTGGAATTAAGCGTTATGTACGCGTGTAGCGTGATCTCTAAAGCATATATATACATAGATATATGTGAAATATCTTGCTGATATCGTAAAAGATTTTCATTGATCTGCGAACCCAGCAGCATGTTCTGTAAAACGTAGAGAACCGCAGATGAAATACAAATGGGTGGAATCCACAAATTGCCGGAAAGATGGAAAAATGTTATAGCTTCAGATGGCCAATACTTCGAATAACTGTAAATTATTTTCTTAAATAACCTTTCAAATTTAGAAAACAAAAAAAAAACGCACAGATTTAATTACAGATCCCGAATGTGACGTATACTTTTTCTCAACAGTGTATGAGCTACAACAAACATTAAACAAATTTAATAGATGTTTTAATATCTGAACTACAAACTTTAAATATAAATTAAACTAAAAGCCGCGAATTCAAGTTTACATTTTAGCCTTTGGCCGCAGCTCACTGCCAATATTCGACTGTGCTCCATTGCCGAGCGGTAGTGGACGATACCGCTTCAAAAACGGTATGATCAATTTCGCAACAAGTTCAGGCTGGTTCAGATGGAAATGATGTAAGCCGTCAGCAATTAGATGTGTTTCGAAGTTCGGATTATGCTCACTCAGCAAACCTATTAACTTCATTGTGTCCGAACCAATATTGCTTGAAGCACCACCCCTTAAGATCATATGAGGCAGCTTTGCCGCACAAATACGCATAACCATGGCTTTGGCGAACGGCTCCTGGGCATGCATATCGAATAAGTGCTTGAGGCGTGTGTCGCGTGAAAAGTAATATCTATCGGAAAATTTTCGTGATTTACTTATGTTACGCTCTAAAATGTATTTACAGTTTTCCGGAAATATCGAATGGCCAGAACCCTCGTAAAGCAAACGCTCACATTCAGCAAACGTATAGCTTGGTGGTTCATCGGATGCTGTTTCATCGACGAGGCGTTGATTGTCGCGTAATGCCTTGATCATTAAGTAGCGTATCATCTCTACAGTTAAATCTGGTTTGATAAAACGTCTTACGACCACATCAATGCTGATTAGCACATCGACTTTGCTTGGATATAGGGAAGCAAAGTAAAAAGCGACGGCGCCACCCATAGAGTGGCCCATCAGTGATATTTTAGACCAATTATATGCCTTCATTAAACGTATTAGTACGCGTACAAATTCAAAGCTATGATATATTATTCCAGCAGGTAGATGCGAAGAGTGACCATGTCCAGGTAAATCAATGCAGAGCACACTGCCGGCTGCTTCGACGAGCAGCGGCGCCAATTTAGCAAAGGTACCAGAGTTATCAAGCCAACCATGTAACGCGATGAGCGGTTGGATCGACTGATCGCCATACCAAAGTCCGGATATGTGACCCCATGGTACTGGGATCTGTATCTCTGTAAACTGAATAAGAAAAGTGTGGTTAGTTTTTATTGTGAAAAGAATTATTATTAGCCTAGTCCTTTTTGATACAAAATGTTCGTCTTTATTAAAAAAACGCGTTACGACAGCTATTCGATGTTCCGCAAAATATCCTAAAATTGTATTAAATTCTGTTCTCATCAGAATTATCCATTAAAAAGAGCTCGAAATATTATTGTTTCACACATGAATGCTGAACAGTCCTTTCGGTTTCATGTTTCTAAAATATAGAAGCTCGAATGAAATTTACCCCGGAAATTTATCCGTAACTTGTACAACTTCCTCCGATTCATTTATATTTTGTACCATCTAAAGCCTGCTTTATTCTTACTAAAACTAAACCACAAAAATATCCCTCTAATTTCGAAATATCTAACCGTATATTTCTACTGGATAGTAAAATATTGCAAAGAAGTCGTTCCCAAAAGCCTTGGCAACGCTCTTAACAGGTAATAATAGTAAAGACTCGAGACACTAGATAATTTACAAATTCGACATATACACAAGTGGTACACACTAAAGATCAAATTCGCCTCATGCAAGCCCTGCAATCCACCTCTGTTAATGACGACAACATGGAAAAAGTTAACAAAATAGTGCTTAAAAATCGTCGTGTTGACATCAGAGAGATAGCAGAGGATCTCAACAACTCTTATGGATCGACTCAACACACTTTGGTTAAAGTTTTGGGTATAACGCGGGCCAATGCCAAACTCGCACCAAAATACCTGAATCTTTTGCACAAACGACGTTAATTATAGGTCGTAAAAGAAATGCTTGACAACGTAGCTAAGAACCCTATATTCATCGAAAAATGAGCGGAAACCAAAAAACCAATTACGCTGAAGGCATCTCAGCCGAGGATGAAAAATTGGAGTAAACATTGACATGCTTGTATTGACTTAGGGGCCAATTTTATAGGGGATTAGTAAAGATTTGCGTTTGGTGTTTAGTGTTGTATATAAGAGTTAACGTGTATGTTTGTACTGACTTAGAAAGAACAAGCATCGGATCCAATTGTCTACACCTTCCGTAGAGAAACGCGAGTGAAATGAAATCTACGCTCCCAGTGGGAGAAACACAGACCAGCCAACGTTTAAGAAATCTGAGAAGTAGTGTTTTTGTCAGTCCAGGTCAATTTCGATCAGTATATTCAGGTATAATTCTTATTCTATAAACAGTTATCAGTTTTAAAAATGACTGTTATTGAGATTATCAACCAGTCGGTAAAACGGAAATCAATTCGTCCGATCGTTTTGATATGCCTATATAGCACAACAATTATTCCGATAAGTTTAATGTGTTAAAAATAACCGTTAGATAAACATAAACAGAGTACAGAGATTACAACTTATTGAGAGAGTTTGCAACTTTTAACTCTTCTCCAAAAAGTTCGACATACCAAATGAAATATTTTACTGTGCTGTTTTATGATTTTTCTCTCATTCTCCAGTCAGTCATTGCCATTGTATAAATCTTATAATTATATAAGGCTTATACAATGGTCATCGCCGCCTCACTTTAAAGTCCAGTAAGCATACTGTATATATGTAAGTTAATATTCTATATATTAGTATTCACTTATTTGTTATTTATTTTGATATTTTACTCACCATTGCAGCTTTTCTTCGTTTTATAAAAAAGGATTGATTTTATTGAAATTTAAAGAAACCCTAACAATAAAAAAAATTATCCCGACAAGTTTCGTTGGTAACAAGCAACTAATTACAATCAACCGAATACTCAGAAAAAACTATCAAATTAAATTGAGAATCAGACAAAATGTATATTTTAATTTTTAGAGAACTATGTGAGATAAGAGTAATATATTTTAACCTAGAGAGCGCGCATTCAATTAATCGTCATACAAATGAACAAAAGTTTAAAATCAAAGCTTTTGAACAATTAACCCATTAAGGGCTGCTATCCAAAATTGATAAAATAACTGTAATCATAACAGTAAATTTATATTAAGAAATCAATTACATTAACTTTGCTACTCATTATTGAAATAAAAAAGCCACTTAATATAAGCACAGCTTTAATTTCATATTATGTCTCTATTATTATCCAGTATTTAACAAAAAAAAATATATATATTATATATAAAATGAGCTCTTCTTCAAAATTGTATTTCACCACTTTATTGTGAATGGCACATGGCGGCCACTGTCAAACAAAAGCAGCTGCAGCATAACAGCTGATTGTCAATTCGTATTTTTTATGGTTAGAATGAAGTGTTTGTGCAATAGTTCATAAAACCCAATAAAATTGAATACAATGGCGTTTTTGGCTAAAGGATTGCTTTCGGTGGCGCGGCAGCCTTGCTTCATTAATAATTTAACACGTAAATAAAGAAATCACTATGCAATTAGCAAATTTTCATTTATTTCCCATTGCAGACTCATTTCGTGCGCTTAGCATTACACAGCGCCTGCTGCAACAACAAAAACCAACTTTGGTAAATGCCGCAGTTGTAGCAAATAAAAGTGAAAAGATTTCAGAACTCGAACAAAAAGAATGTCAAGATGTTTTCGATAAAGTTAACAAACAACTTGACGAACGTAAAGAGGGTCGTTTGTTTGCTATTGTACATTTGTGTGGCAAACAATTTAAAATAACAGCTGGCGACATCATACTAGTGGAGGGTTATTGGCCACCAACAATTGGCGATGAAATTCGTTTAGAAAAAGTATTGTTGGCTGGTGCAATGGATTTCACCCTAATTGGCCGGCCAATACTGCCAGCCGGTTTGGTGAATGTGAAGGCGACAATTATTGAGAAAACCCTAACGCATACGAAAACACATTTCAAGAAGAAGCGCAGGAAGCAATACATGCGTATCAACTTCCAACGTTCGCCAAATACAATGATCCGCATAAATTCAATTGAGGTTGAGCAAAAAGTAGGTGGTCCTTTGCAAGTAATCAGTGAGCCACGTATTTTTTAGTTGCATTTTTTCAACTGTTGTACATAAAGTGTATCAGTCAATAAAGTAGTTAAATCATATTTTGTTTTTAGGATATACGAAAAGTGTGCGTTTTTTAAAAAGACAAATGTGTTTTCCAATTTCATCAGTTTCTGATTACTTTGTGTGATTGTTGAGCCTTGGGTCCGAATTGCTTATTTATATAATTCAGAGCCTCCTCTGTGTAATAAAATAAGATTTCTGTTTATTAATTCTGATGATATGAGTTCTGATCCCTACAACGTTTGGCGAATCGAGGACCGCTATTATAATCTATGTAAAACTACAGTATTTTTTTCATTTTAGACCATTCCGAAAACTAGTCGATTTATACCAAAAAAATTTCGTTAAAACATAATAAGGGGTAGGGTTCGTATACTCAACAAACTCACCACAAGGGGAGTTAATAAATATTTATATGGTAAATATGTGGAACACATAGCCGCATATATGTATGTAAATCAAAATATGTAGTAAGATTCATGAATGCAAAAAGACAATTTTAAAAAAAAAGAAATAAAATATTACTACCAAATACTAGGCTAACTATATAAAATATTCAAATAAGTAATTGAATAACGGTTTTGCTATGCATCAGTTGTGCAAGTTCAAGTGGTTCTTGAACATCATTTGTATGAATGGCTGGAACTTATGGAGATGACTTAGCAAATCATGTATAAGAAATAATTTCGTATGCATATAATATAAATCTTTGTATGCATCACACAAATGTGTGTATATATTGTATTAATATACGTTTCTGTAGGTATTCAAATATTTCCTTATTGTAAGTGAGCACATACATATGTACATACATGTCTGTAAATAGAAATTCTTTCATGTCGTCAAAAATACTTATGTTTACCGCATTAATGTTGTTGTTGTTATAGCGGCAGAATTCTACCGAGTTGATAACTACCGCATTAATAACTAGTAGCGGTCATTGTTTGGAAACGTGAGACTTACTAACATAATAAGTGTTCAGAAATTCTGCGCATGTTTTATGGTAATCACAAAACTGGAGTGAGGCACAATTACCATTCAATGAATTGCATATCTATATACTTATATGTATGTATATACATATGTACGTATAAGAGTGTATTTAAAATAATGTGGAATGCTAAACTTTCGCTTTTTTAATTGTGTTATTAAATTTTACTTACCACGATATTACATGTAATGATTTCTAAGTCATATTTGAAAAGGTTTATGAATTGTGTACGTGCACAATTGTACAAAGGAATGATTTGACTCTTTTTTTATATTCTGAACAGCATATATTGTATTACGTTTGCCACGAAGTTTATATAAAATATTATATGTACATATGTACATGTATAAAAATAAACCGTTAACTTCGATTGCACCGAAACTATAACTCCCTTCACAAATAAAAAAGCTTTCCACGCAAGAACTTCATTCTGATCGGTCAGTTTTTCTGGCAGCTCCGATATGAATAGTTTACTCGGACCTTGGCCTTGGATATAATAAAACTATGCCGAATTTCGTGAAGATATCTCGTTAAAATAAAGAGCTTTCCAAACTTGATTTTGATCGGTCACTATGTATGGCAGCTATATGCTATAGTGGTCCGATCTGAATTATGTGATCGAAAATTGTACCGATGCCTTGAATAATTATCCATGCTTAATTAAGTGAATATATATATATACCTTGTAAATTAAAAAAGTTTTCCAATACAAGGACTCGATTTTGGGCGTTCAGTTCGAATGATACATGGCTCTAAGTTGCGGTGGTCCGATACCGGCGGTTCCGACAAATGAGCAGTTTTTTATGAAAAAAAACGTGAGCGGAATTTCAGATCGATATCGCGAAATTGAGAGACTAGTTATCGAAAACTTAAGTAACGCTTCAGAAGAATTTTTATTGCTGTAGAAGCATAAAATATTTTGCAAAATTTTGTTGTAAATACGTTTTCACTAATTTCCGCCAGGATACTGTTGTAGCGGACGAAAACATTCCCGAATGAAATCCACCTGCCCTTGATCAGATATAACACAGCCCTTGATCAGATATAAATCCATGTTTATTTCGGTTATTTAAACTTAACTTTCGTGGAAATTAATTGCATTATTACACTACGCTTTCATTATAGCTGGGATGAGACATGGATGCCAAGTTTCAAACCCTTCAACTTTTGGAAGTTCATACGCTCAAGAAAGTCTTCTACATAACTTTACAAAAAGTTTAGTGCCATATATAGACACAACGGACTATCCAAAACAAAATCATTGGCAGATACAAGTAAGCATGTACTAACATACATACATACATACATACATGGATGTTGACAATGTCAGCGTGTAATTTAGTGTCTCGCCGCATTGCTCGACAGTTAATAATCCGTGAAATTTTACCTCAATTGAATTAACGTTTTCCGGTCAATGTGAGCCAACGCAATGCTCTCTCTCGCTCTTTGCGTAGAGAATGTTACGCAGCTGAAAGCAGAAGAGCACTTTAATCACCTTTCGCAATTTCATGATTTTCTTTTAATTAAAACATACCAAAGAGAAATAAATTCCAAGGATTTTTCCCTTGCAACAGTGGGCATACATTCATATACATCTACGCATGTATGTTGTAAGCACTTACATTCCCGTGAGTTCGAAAGGTATTATTGCGCAATTATTTTGACTATTGATTGGAAATCGTCAGCCACCTTACCGATTTTGGACCGCAAATGTGGATTCAATTGAATTTCATGAAGCTGCGCCATAAGTGACACCACTATCATTGTCCTTACTAGCAATATTAAATTTCCCCTTAACTTACTACTTACCAATTCAAAAATGGGTTAGATCGTTGAAATTACAGCCCTTGTCCATATAAAATCCCGTCACGAAGAACCAACTGTTATTGGAATTAAATTTTCCGTCAAGATCATCAGGTTTGGTTAATATTGCTGCGGAGAAGCTCTTTTCTACGATTATTTGGTAACGAATTAGAGCTGAGACGTCAAAGCAAGGCTTAGTTAAAGTGTCCACCCTATTAGTCCCTCAAATAATATTCTAGCAATGAGAACTGATTAAGCTAATAAGTCGCAAAAAAACGAATTTACAACCCTTTTCTTTTTTCAAACTTTCATCCTCACCATGCGGCTTTGCCAGATTTCTAAAAAGCGATTCTATGACGAACTCAGGCCTTCCTATCCTCCCTTCATTAGACTTCACAGTTTCTGTGATTGACAGATTTTTGCACATAAATAAATTCCTTCAAATCTTATTATTTGAAACTCGAACAGCCACTAGAATGGCTCTCTGGAGCATCACGTTGATAGCTTAAACCAGACCGGACCTTTGAGGATCGACGGAAGAAAATAGATGAGACCATCATATTCTTAGTTAAAGCCTAGTTAAGCAGATTCGATAACAAGCATTTATAGAATATGAGATCAATAAAGAGCAATGAAAGATTTAAATAGTATACTTCTCCGGATGAAGCGGCTCTTGGGAAGTTTTTTGGATGATAATGGTTTTTCGTAGTTTCTTCTAACGTTTTATCGACTATGATTTGATCAAACCGATCCACATTTTCATAAATAAAATTTATATAGAAAAGTTTTTATTCAGTGCAATCTCCAGATTTAGTCTATTGAGAGGATTTAAGACTCTAGCAAATTGGTGCAAGTATACCAGATTTGCTTTCCAAAACTAGATCCTTAGAAAAACGAGCTTCTATTTGGAAATTCTTCCGAAAGCTATTCCTGTTCGGTGTCCTTTGGTCAAGCAAAAATGTTTTCTATACTAGAGCTTTATTTTGATTGGTCAGTTTGTATGGTAGCTATATGCTATAGTAGTCCGATATCGGCGACTCAGACAAATGAGCAGCTTCTTGGGTACAAACACACATGTGCCAAATTTTAGATCAATATCTCAAAAGTGCGGGCGTCAAATCGGTTCAATATTTCGGCATGGTGGACCCTTGTGACCATTTTGACCTCTTCTTTATCTAGTCCATTTCAAGTACATCTTGTTTATAGAAAACTGTGGTAAAGGCCGATAGGACAGTCTCCAATTTCTTCAGAGCAGGTTCACTGTCTGAAGTCGACTCTTTGTGTATCACAGAAAGAACTGTGGGCCGGAAAGGGAATAACCGATAGAATAGTCTTCGCATTCTTCTGAGCAGGTTCATCGAGTGATGTTCACTGTTTCAACTTTTTTTTTGAGATCTGAAAGAAACTTTTTCGGATTGCGCTTAGGTTTGTTGTCCGGCATGAGCCAATACGGCATTCATCGCGACAGCTCTTTTTCGCTCAATATTACATACAAGATACGACTCACGTGGACTTATGAGATCCCTACTGTCTCAGTTATCTCGCGTAACTTTAGTTGGCAATATTCCAAAATCAGATCATGGACTTTTGTCACGTGAGCCAGAGTACTAAAGGTTTTCGAGGCGTTTCTCCTTGAAAACGAACGTAAGACCGCGTTTAAATTCGTTAAACCGATTTTTGACGTTCGCTATCGAAGAGAAAGAAGCTCTGCATATAGACTCCAAGCGCTCTTTGATTTCAACGTGCGATTTCGCTTTCAAAAATAATAATCGTACTCCGACGTATACGACAAAACAACGAGTCCGATTTGATTGAAGTTTTGACCGTAGCTGCGGTTCTACGAGAATGTACTACATGATATGACAAATTCAAGTACGATAGTTATATAGATCTGACCGTTTTGGATATCGACTTTTCAGACACTTCTTAACGTTTGAATTTTCAATCTACGTCTCGAAAAAAACTAAATAAACATCATTTATGTAATTTTTTTGTTTTCTCCTTTGGCTCCACAAAACAATCCAACGGGCGACCCTTGAAATGTCTAACGGTTCTTACTAATTTAAGCACTATCTAAAGAATGCATTCTTCATCCAGCCGCAGACACTCGGTAAGAATATATGTATGTGAGTAAGTTGTTGCAGTCAATTTTAGTTGGCATTCAGTACTCGAAACAACAAAAAAGTCTGCTGTTGAAGCTAACATGTTGACATTCCAAGCATACAATGTCACTCACTTAGCGTTACTTATGCAATAAAGCAAACAAAT